ACATTCCCTCGATGGATGCTACCGATGGATGCGAATTTCTCTGTAAAAGACATTGTTTGAAGTTTCGCGACACATGCGGGTACAGATGTGCACACACAGTTTAATGTTCCGTCAGCGATCAAGGATCAGGATCCTGTCGCTTGAGCGAAAGATCGATGATCAGATGGGCCGGATGCGCTGTGTGATTTTATGATGGTCATTGGATCAAGCGGTCCTTGGCAGCATCCTTCTAGATTTCAAACGAACACCAAAATGGTCCCCAGATGGCCAAACTTCTTCAAAGCACTGAATTGAAGGAGTAGTCTGCCTCTACTGAAGAAGGTTGGACTACAGTGGCTTGTGAAAAGGGTAAATGGAGACGGTACTGGCGCTTATTCGAGCGATCGATGATCAGTGGGACAAAAAGTGATACAGGTGACATCCACTCTTAAAATTAATGAGATTTCTTCAAAGTCCCGATATACTTTCTTGAATGTCTGATTATTCAATTACCGTTAGTGCCAACGTTTTCAGATAGGGATGACCTACGTTGAAGTCACGAATTCAACCCCTAACAAAAGTCGATAGTCGAAATCATAGGCAGATATCTCACGGTCACGTTGGATGTGACTATGGAAGGATAGAATGGAAGGTCCGATCTTCAGAAAACCAGGAGGCCAATGAAAGGGAGGTGCGGACGGATCTAGAACTCTTTTTGTTGCGTGGTGTTACTCATAACTTCATCTCACATTCAGACAAGACATCAACTAAATACCACGATCACTCACCGAGAGTTTGAACATACTACCTTTCCAAGAGTACCCCATTCCCAGATGAGCACGCTACTGAATAAGGACCTAGAGACTAACTGACTCAGATGAGATACAATCTTGAACCTGATCCTTGTAATGCGCCTTCCATAACAGATTCGTTCTATCTGCTACAACTTCGATTATGCTTTTGAGGGAGTGCAAAAGGAACCTTTATGAAAAGGGGAACAATACCATATAAAGATATTGCATTGTATGACTCAAAAGATTGGCGAGTTACAGACGAAACTTCGGTCTCAGAAGGCATTTGAACCGGTACTTGTAAGGGCCGTAAGGTTGTGTAAGGGGTAGGAGCACGGTGCCCGGATAACACAAGAACGGGATCAAGTCCCATCCGAAGAAGAAGTTTCGTCCATAACCCGCCAACTTTGTGAGACTTTCGAATCGCGAAATAAGAGCAGCTACCAAGAACATCATGTTGAAAGAAGCTATATAAAGACATTCAGACAGAGGATGTTGGTAACTCGGGCATTTATAAGCTAAATACAGGATATCCAGTAATCTTCCCATTCCCTGTAATCCAAATTTACGTGAATGTCTCACGAGTGCATGAAAATTGCCTACAACAAAAAGTGCAATCACTTTCCCAAAACATCCCCTATCAGAAAAGGAAAAGCTGTTTTTATTTCGTTCTCATTTATAAGGGCTTTTCTCCTTCTTGCCTCATCCTCATTTTCCGTTCAAAAAGTATGCCTAACTGTCAGTGCGTCAGTGCCTAGTTGTCTTCAGTTATTGGCTTTTCTCTTCTCGCAGGGAAGTTCCATGTTACTCTGAAGTTGACTTAGTTGTACAAGCAATAAATAAGTGAAAAATCAAACCAAAAGATTGCTTTCCATTGTTCGTATACAATAGGAAATAGGAAGGGAGCGAAAAAATCGCGGTCTCAATGCGGTGAAGCAGGGGACACACGTCCATCGCGCGCGACACTACCATCTGATCACCAGGTGCTCAAAGATGTGCTGGGAGGGGGGTTTGGTTGGTGAAGAAGCTTCTGGATTGAGTGCTTTCTTTCTCATGTGCTAACAAGTCGCTTACGTGTTCTGACGCGCTCAATGCTAAACTAATTACAGGACCGCTCCCCAGTTTGTTCGCTTTCCACCCACCCATTTTCCACCTTTCTAGCAACGACCACAATCCGTGCGCGAACTAATTGGTTACTGCTGAGCTTTTTGGTCTCAGCAAAAAGATTGTGGTCAAAGATTGAGCTTTTTCTAAAAGAAACTTCATTACGGTGAACTTGAGCGAACTAATCGTGTACGGCCTGGTATCAGTACGATTTTTCGACGCTCACGATTAATTTTTCCTCCTACTCGCAAAAGTTCATATTTAAACTAGCATTTAGGGAAAAAAACTTGAATATTTAGGAGGAAGTAGATCAACAAGTTGCCTCATTTCACTACAAGTGGAGTGACCGTCCCCCTTGTTAACGAAATGATTGATAGAGTAATAAAAACAAGAAAATAAAGTTTTTGGCAATCTCACTGCCGTTTGGAATGAGCCCTGAATTCGGCTATCATTTTAGAGCTGTGAGGGGTGTGAATTGCGGTTTGCCTCATACAATGGCCTACATAAGTGGATACCAATGTACCCGCGTCCCCCTCTCTAATCACGAGTTCGGCACCACATACACCACGGCTCTTAGGGTGAACCGCTGAATGGAAGGCTTTGAAGGTTTAAAAGGCATTGAACTAAGGTTTGATACCTGGAGTATGTATGTGGTTCCTAGGGTGGTAGTATTTATGTTCTCCGATCTGATTTCTCCTGCTTTGTTTAGACGCTCTAATTTCGGATTCGGTCAGTGGATGACGTAACTTTAGCAAATGGATAGAACTGTTTCAACCTCAAATGGGTAGTAAACTGCCATACGGCTACTCTCACTGCCGTTGGTGCACTTACCCTTCGTTGACGTCATCTCGACAGAAGAAAGTAATGAGATATACCTCTATCGGAAAATATTAGCTAGGGCCGTTTCAGTGAGAGCATGGTAATAGCATTCCTCTTACAAAAAAAGGGGATGATAGGTATTGAGAGGAGATGAGTAGAGCTCGCAATAGGAATGGACTGGAAAATTCCAAAAATAGCGGCGAAATCGTTCGTGAGACGATAAAGGGGATTCAGTTCTAAACCCGCGAAAACCCCATAGAATCGAAGAAATAAAGTAAGGGATATATAACCTCGAAAGCTGACAATCGATGAGGAGTGGGAATCGTCCTCCTCTTTACTTCGGCTAGCATTTCTTCGAATTTAATTAGCGCTTCTAACCAAATCACGTTGCCTCCTCAAAACAATTGCATCACCCGCTTCCTGGAATCACTGTATAGGAATGGGTGGCTTCAAAACAGCAGTGAATGACATGACACGGTGATTTCTAAGTATTAGGTATTAGGTTGCCGCAGTTTGAAAGGAGCTGGTTTTACCTTGAATTGTAGCAGTAACATTTCTTGCATAGTTCTGTGGTCCTACTTATGTGGGAGGAACTGGGAGTAGTGAGAAAATCAAGGAAGTTTGCCTCTGTTCTCTGATGAGCATTTTTCATCCACTTAAATCCCAGGGTCTCATCCAAAGACCAGAAATTCCGAGTGTGTGCCCATGAATTTTCTCGTCTAAGCGCGACGGAGCTACACCTGGTTGTTGCGCAAATTTCGCAGGAAGAAGGCTATGGCACTGGGGAGGGGAGCGTGGAGAGGGTAGTGGTTTTTGGACCTAAATTCCCACCGTAAGCAGCAGTGATTTCGCGGCAATTACCGTAGTCTTTTACTTAGAATTTGAATTTTCCTCTCACAGCGCGCACCTGCGCGACATCCTGTGTCTTCAAGAGAATGCTGGCAGAAGATTGGAGGAAAAATAACTGAGGGTCATTGTCTCAAGCGGGCAGACCAATAGGGCGTTAGGACCGGTGAAGGAGTTGGAGATGAATCACATTACAAGGTGAGGTAGCAGAGGCCAGCTGTGGTGTCGCCTGGATCTGCCACTTCTCGGAATAAGGCATGATGGGTCTTCTTCTCCGAATCACAGCAAGATTCCACGTATACAGTGGTTTTCAGAGGTCAGCCTCAATAGTCACTTTCTTTTACAACTGGAAGTTCCTCGGCCATGCGGCACGAACGACAGAGATCGTGCAGTTGTGACTTTAATTGTATTACTACTCTCAAATGAGGTCAGAAAATCGGTTAACTGTCGTAAACCATTATACAAGTTACAAATGTACACCAATACTTCTGTGCTTTTGGAATTAGACCCATAAAGTGGCTTTCTCCAACCTTGTTGACTTCCACGTCGAACTTTTACGATATTCTCAAATCGCATAAGAAGATTCTCCTACATACTCATGTTCGCCAAGACGTGTCAGGGAAAACCGAGAAACTTTTCGGTCTGAGAAGCGTCCATGTTGTTTAATGATGATGTGCACTTTGCGAGACAAAACCGATAGAACTGGTTTTGGTGGAATCAGACAGAAACGTTTTCATGCTTTTCCACATTAGTTGCGGTCGACCTTCGGAGGTTTTCCTCCGCACGCAATCCTTTTTACCATTGTACTGGCCTTCCTTGTTGGCTCATATTTACAAATTTAATTTGAGCCTTTCGAACACTGTTCCATTTGTATCGATGTGTAATTTGTTTGGCACCACATTTGCTCCGAGTGCTCAGCTTCATGCACTCAAATTGTGTCGCGCCTAGGAAACCATCCCCAGATTGCTGATAAGCTCATTATTCGAAGCTAGATTCGTAAGAGATTATGTGTTCTTACGTTCAAGCAATAGCCCTTCCTCAAAAACTCTTTTTTCAATGAGGGAAGCCTCTTTTTGAGTGCGTATACGATTTCGAGGGGAAGCCAAGTAGGCGGGCCCTGAGAAGTCCCGTCAGTCTCCAAAACGACCGTCATCAGAGGTTTCGCTCCTCAACTGGGCTCTACTACGTATTATGATCGTAAGATGAAGATGATTGACTCTGTGCCATAAAAAATCGAGAGATATTTCAAGAAGGAATGACTGGTGAGTTGGTGGGTTGGACGAGCGCGCTCCAATGCCAATCGGCGCTATGTTGTTAATGCAACTGGAATTTCCGAAAGTGTGCACAGGTGTCAGTTTGCTCCGCGGTGGCATTCCCCTTCGGTGAAGTCGCCTACGTTTGTCAAAGCTAGTCGTCTATTTGACAAAATTGTTAGTTAGTTAGGCTACTTTTACAGCAACTATGGCAACTTCGAAGAAAACACCTAGCGTAGCCGAAGAGTACAGTTGGACAGAATCGGTAGGCCTTAACGATTCATTGTTTTTTGTTCAGACTTCGGTAAAATTCCAGTGGTAAAGCGTCCCTCTTAAGTCATGGATCAGATAATGATATTTCTTGTGGGTCTATGACATGGGGATGTACGGTCATGAAGAACCATCTTCAAAATTTGTGGGCGCCTGTTCGGGAGCACAGTGAAAAACCATTGGGCCAACAATGAAAGATTTGAACCGTTTTATACTATTTGTTAAGAATTTGAGGGGTCTTCGTTTTACAAGCGCACCTTGGGAAGCGGCATAACCCTTCTAACTACTTTGGGTTGAAAGTTTCGACTATAGCTTAACCCTCTCAAATTTATAAAGAGAGTTGATACACCCCCTTATATGGAGATGACAGTAGATGTTAATGAAAGTGCGCAGGAACGGATTCATAGCACTTTTTAATTCCTAGTTATTTTGAATACAGTAAGTGCGCGAAGCTTATGCTTAAGCGTTTAGGAAGTCTGCAGACTGCCTTTGCTTTTCCCTTTCCCATTAGCGCTTGCTCCTAAAGATGGATATTGATTTTGAGCCAACATACCCATTCCCTCTAAGTTGTAGAAGCTACATAGGTTAATCACCAGTTATTTGTAGTTCCGTCTTGGTCTAGGCCGAACCAGCCACTCCATGGATCATTTTGAGCGATTTGAACCCAGAGACTTTGAGATTCTATGGAATGAGTGTTGGCGTCCAATCTTCTTCCAACTTAATTGCTAACTACCTCGTTTACTTTGCATCTTTCTGCACAGCCGAAGTTTTTTTTTTTCAGTTAGGCAAAGCTCTTCGGGCTGGAAGCGAATGGTCAGATAAAGATGAACTACTTGATGTCGTATATTGGGGGAAGCAGGTAAGTTGACTTTGTTCACAGTAGAAAGCTCGTTGAGTGAGAACTGAATCTAAAAGAGAGCAGAAGTTGAAGAAGTATTCACATGCTTAGTTAGTACATTCTCTGTATTTGGATATTGTGTAATTACTGAGATTCTCTACTTTTTGTATTTTTCCGCGAAGATGATCTTTTCCAGTTGTTATCGCTTATAATTGGAATCGCTTTTGGTGCCGCTTCAATGCATGGAATACTGGCTATATTAGCCTATGTTGCAATATCAACAATGGTTGCTCAACACTTTGTAGTGAAATTCCAACAGGTGGGTAACTCACTAAATCTTTTCCTTGTGGTGTTTCAAGTCTGTCCACCGACTATCGATAAATGCCTGTGTAAGTAAAAACTCATCGAGGTTCTGGTAGTTTGCCTAAATCAATATAATCTCAGATCCTTCATCAAGTTTACACCCCTATTGTTTACGCTCCCAGAGGTGGTGATGAATTAAGCAGATGTCATTCTGAGGTTCGCGGTGGTTGAAAAGGTCAGAAATGGCGAAACAGAGGGATTTGGATGAATGCATTCCCATCTGGCTGTTTCTCGATAGCTCCTCATTTCCAAATTGTCGCTTCAGAATGTGGCACTGAGCTTTGAACGCAGAGCGTCGAAGCTGCGTTAGCGTTTGTTTTCCTTCGACACATTATACCGTAGTAGTCGACGAAAAAAGTCAGATCCCCATACAAAGAAAAATTAGAAAGGTGAATAGAACTACCATTGAGGTCTCCCTCAGAAATTCGTCCACCTCTACCCGAGCGGTATCGATCGATGTCCGTTGTTGTCAGCAGGGTGCCGACATCAGACAACGTCAGGCGCAGAGCGGACGTTGCCGCGACTTCGCGCCCAACGTCTAACGCTGCACTCTGAAAGCGCCCACCAGAGAAGTGATGATGTTACGCTACGTCTGTAATTAGCTACACGTCACTTGCGTCATCTTATTTGTCAACAAAATCCATCACACTTCAATGCTCTTTTGAATGGCAAACTAACAGCATAAAAGCGGAATTGATGACCACAAGCTTACTGATGCGTGACGATGTGAAATCTCGAACAGCGTTAACACAACAATTTTATGGCTATGAGTCGACCTCGCTGGAAAAAAGGCGTTCGAGAAATAATCTAAAATATTTTCTTTTTACACTCCTCTTTAATCATCTCGTTTTCATTCAAATTTAGGTAGATGAAGATGACGTAGGAGGATTTTGGGAACTCGCTAAAGAAGGATTCGGTTCCGCGTTTGCAACATTTATGGTTTCGTGGATTACTGTTTATTCAGCTGTATATCAAACTCCTTCCTAGCTTTCGCGTATATCGTAAACTATTAGAATTTCGTATTGTTACTAATTATTGGTAGTTTCAGTCAGATCAGTAGACCATGACTATCTCATATCGATTTACTGTTCTTTCTCATGCGTGATACGTTGTTTTGAATTGTATAGTTTTCAGCGCGAGTACTTATGTGATTTTTCACAACAACGTGTCAATTTAATAGTAACGTTGTATGCAATCGTGTTTTTTGATGGTCTGACCAATCATGTTGAGCATCAAACCTATGGGTTGATGAAGCCTAAGGTTGATGTTGATGACGCTGTGATAAAATTTTCCCTCGCTATAATTAGCTTTGATTATTGCCCGTGTTTATGGTTCTGTCCAGTCTATCGTTCCGGCCTGCTTACGCTAATAATGAAACTTGTTGTTGTGTTTCATGTTGAATTTGTCCAGAATCGTCCAGCTAATCGAATGCAATCTGCCGGTAGAAATTAAGATTGCTGGCTACTAACATATCTCCTAACCATTTTGTAAGTTCCTTTTTTCTTCATTGAGTTTCATTTTTTCCTGTTCCTAAAAGAGCATTTTTCAGGTGATTTTTCGCCCTGATACAACACATTAACGTCCTCCTTTCATGAGTAACCATTATTAATGGATCCCTCAGTGGGTGTTCGGATCCTGTTCTGCCTGCTGTCCTCACTGGCGTCCGTTCATTTGGCTGATCCACAAATCAGTAGGTTTCATTTTTTTCCGCTGTTTTCTTGCTGTCACGTGGTTATCTCTAGCAAGCGGACATTCTTCTCATTTCTTGTTAGAGTAGCCAGGAAGTTCTGATTTTTTTGACATTTTGCTTCAAGAAGAAATCTTGTGCTGTTCCATGCCTTTTTGAATTGTCGTTCTATTCACAATGGTATTATTGCAGGTTTTGCGAAATTTGTGATTATCGGGCAGCATTCTCAGTTTGACAATTTGAAAACAGCTGCACTCAAAGACTCGCTATCACAACAGATCGAAAGCTCTGGAGAGGTAATTCCTAAATGCAACAAAAAAAGGCGAACGACAACCTGTTCTTTCAGAGTGTGGAGGTGATAGTTCCTCATGTTGACTTCCCGGATATTGCCGGTTATTGGACTACATGGACGCTTTTTAGTAGGTTTGACAATCTCCTCATTGTCAAAGTCACCGCTACGGCGACCTATTGTGTTTCAACCGTAGTCACCCCATGAATATTTTCCTTTCATTGAATTCTGTGGTAATGATCGCGCTTAATTTCAGAATTACTTCGTTAGCCCCATCAGAATGGTACGTTTTCTTGGAAGAGGAGTCTCATGTGGATGTGTCTACATTATTTTCGTTTCTGAAGGGTTTTAAATCGACGCAAAAAGTTTTTTTGGGACACGCACTCTACGACAGAAGGAAGGTTTTCCCTTTTCGCGATTGATTTTCGATAGCGCCCTGTTAACATTGTGTTTTAGTCCTACTATCATACACCATTTCTTCGGTCATGAGGAACGCGATATGATACTGTATCCTGACTTCGCCACAGGTTTCGTTTTATCGGATGCGCTCCTTACAGGGTTTGTTCCTTGAAAGAAACCCCTACCGAACTTCTATGTAGATAGAATGAGGTTTAATATGCATGTTACTTGTAGTTTGGCTATTGCCATGAATACCACAGCTGCCAAAGCCACGGACGCGTTCACAATTGATCCTAAGCACGAGGTAAGATTTTAATTTTCCGGTTTGGAAATGGGTGTTGTATTACTTCAGAACCATTTCTCTTCTCCCATTAATTTTATATTTCCAGTTGGCGCGCTTGATTCTGAAGGAAGGTAAAACGGTACTGCGATCTTACCCAGATCGATTCTGTAGCCGAAAGATGCCTGGTTGTGCAATTTCATTCGAGGCTAGTTTCTTCTATGCAGTGCTAAACTTCTTATTTAGCCCACTTGAAAGGTCATTCAAAAATGTGTGTCAAGATGGGTAAGCAACCGGCTCGTTTCTCATCTGAATTCACCTCTTAATACCTTTCGATTACTTTCCTTATTTGCTGTGGGTTGTCACTCATGGTTTCGATTCCTCTACTGTTGGTTAATATCGGCTAACAGCAATTCAAAAAGAGACACTGTTTGGTGGAGGGGGGGGGGGGGGGNGCTTTAAGAAGTGGGCATACTGCCTGTTCATCCGAGACGTCTCAGCAGCTTCGTATGGGAGCTGTTTTCTTTTTTCAAATGAGCTCTTATTTCAGGAGACCAAATGTGCAGTCGAACCTGGCATCAAACCGCAGGATATATACGTTGGCGTAAAAACATTCAGCGAATACCACACTACTCGCAGTGCGTTACCAATTTCCTTTCCGTTCTTTTGCTTGTGTTATGTCATGTGCGTTGACTTACTACATGTTTCAGTTCCGGTAATTAAGAGAACTTGGAGTGCCTCCTTACCATCTATCGAATATTTCAGCGATTTGGTTAATAATGTTATTCCTACAATTGATTCCGGGATACCCAACACGGAACAAGGTACAATTTGGTTGTCGCTTTGCTGTGCTAGGGTCACTTTCTAGACACTCATTCTGCGGTTTCTGTGTTTTCGCATTGGTTAATTTGGTAATTTTACTCCCGTGCTGTACGCTCCTTATACCTTCAAGATCCACTCCTGGAAGAAAATTCTGATATTGTCATGTGTATTGAAGTTGATTTGCTTGCACAGGGCCCTCTTTTACGAACGTTGATGCATAACAAAAACTAATTGTTTGGGTATGTGTTGATGATACCTGATGAAATGCACGTTTTCGTTCTTATAGAGCCTTCTGGTTTGAGGTTCTAACCCCAGCTCCATTTCAGCTACTATTTAATCAGACTTTGATTCTAAAAACTTATACACCTTTCCAGGACATTGTGGCAAGACATTCGTGATATTAAAGCGTTTTGTCAAGTTACTAGACGATGGTGCAAAGTTCTCATGGCTGCTAATTTCTGATGACGACACCTTGATAAGTATTCCTCGATTACTACGATTGCTTTCATGTCACGATAATAGTGAAAAGGTGTGTCATTTGTACGTCTTGCTTTTACTCTGTCTCTTTTTTTTTGAAACTTAGGGCACATTCAGCGAACCTTTTTCTTGATCGATTCTGCTTTCTTAATATAGTAGTTATAGATCATAATAGGTGAACGGTATGGTTATGGATTCTCTAGTTTTGGCGCCACCGGCTACGATTACCCGACTGGGGGAGCAGGGTAACATTTTATACGCTATTAGCGTTATTAGCGTTGATTTTTTTTTCTGAAATTAGGTTTTACCATAATTTTTGAGAATGGTATTTTCTCCTTCTGCTGCTCGTACGATAGTCTCCAAGTGTGCATGCCCAAGTGATGACGCACCTGATGACATGATTATTGGTATGTAAGTGAAAGAGTTTGTAGAGTTTAGCGACCTTCAGTACTTTTATTTAGGTATGTGTTCCATGAGATTTGATGTAGCCATAATTCACAATGCCGCATTCCATCAAGCCCGTCCAATCGACTATGCAGAAGAATATATCCAGTACGGTCTTTCGCTTTTGAGCATTCCTCTTTCGATTTTCAGTTTTTCACGCCTGTTTGTTTGTTGTTTGTTGAGAGGATTAGTCCTATTCAGAAGAATCTCACCGATCTCTTTCCACAAGTTTGATGAAATCGATCCGTACGAAGTGTACATGGAGTATCTTTTTGAGCCACCTGTTGCTCAAAGAAAGACGGAGCTCTGAACATGACATCGATCTCTACGCGTTTTCCCTTTGTTCGCTGTACGATGAATAGTTAACATTCTAATGTAAAGTTGATAGTAAACAAGCTTCGAAATCGTGCCCATGTTGACATTTCATATCGGCTACTACTGGTCCGCTGGCTATCTAAAGGGTTTGCTTTGCTTGCTTCAAAATTTTGAGGCTTTCCTTAAGCCACTATGGAAGATGAACATGAACATGAACATACGGGCCAGTTTTCCGCTGAAGACCGCAGTGAACAAGTAAATTCTCAGGACTGTTCGGAAATGGTGAGTCTTAATTACAACTTGAATTTCTTATGAGTATTTACATAAATTCCAGGCGAACAACAATACGGTCAGTAACTCTTTGCAATGCATGGCTTCAAGATCGAGTGACTCGCCGGAAGCACCGTTGGTTTTTCGAGAATCTTCATCCATTTTGTTGTTATCTGCCCCTATTCACTTGATTCTGGAAAATCATATTTGACGTTATGATTCAATCACTGTGGAAATGTCAAGTGCAATCTTTGTTAATAAGGGTACTGAGTTTTTCTGGCTTTCAATTTTTTGCTATAACAGTATCTCCCCGAGATCCTATCGAAGTTGTTTTCATTAATGTAAAGAAATAATTGTATGTGTTTTCAGGTCCGAACACCTTTCCGCAGAGTCGAACGCATGCTGTGGTATGTTTTTGTAATCACCTTGCAGTCAGCGTAACCAAAGCGCCTGCTCTAGTAGCCTATTCTAGGGACGATGGAAGATTCCTTTGAGGATCATGATTCTCTCCAAATTGTCGACGATGGCCAAGTTGGTGTTAAGTCCACGCAGCTTTCAAGGTCCCTCATTTTTCACCGTATAGGAGCCTGTGCCATCGCCTTCTTCTGGTTATGCAGACAAGTTCTCTGCTGTCAATGAAACGAGTGACGATGGTAAGCTGCATCGTTCACTGCAAATATTGTGGTCAAGATTACGGAAGGAGGGGTGCATCGTGGATGCTGCTCAGGTGCGCAGTTGTTCAAATTAGCCCTCCTTTTTTCAAAGAACATATCTTTGAAGTGTTTCTTTGCCTTTCTCCAGGTCAAGCCTACACGCAGGAAACTAAAATGTTTTGTGGATCGTTGCGTATACAAGGGTGGCCCGTTTGACAGCATACAATTGAGATGCACTCTCCCATCTAAAGTTGAACTCGCCATCCAGTGGATTTGTATCTGTGTGGTCAGTTTTTATACCATAATTATTCCCCATCGTTTTCCACTCTGTTAATTGACTCGGTCCTGATCTCCTTGATGCTGATAGGATTGTATTGCCTACATCATTAGTTACCGTCAGGCCAACACGATGGAAGTGTCAGTGTCGTTGCTAGAATTATTTGAAAGTTTTGAAATAGTGCATACCGTGTGAATACCCTTGGTTGGTGCCTAACGGCATAATGCTAGTATTTCTTTCAGTCGGACATCAGTCGCCAAAACGACTACATCATCAAATTCATCAACCATCTTAGAACTGCTACCGGTATTTCAGTTAATTAATGGTGAATTCGTCTTCTATGAAATGCTTCATTAATAATTAGGTGAATCGTCACCACCAACTCTTATCGCTTCACGTGAACAGCTGATATCTTTCCCTTTTCGAGTGTGTTGCCGTCATTTTTCTACAGAACCCGGTGATCCAGGTACTCATATAGCGCCCATGTATCATCTTCCCGGCAAGTTGCCAATTTCTCGAGATGTGAGTCTCTTGCTATTTCTTCTTCTACGGCTGCTTCACATGAGGGCATTTTAAGGAGTTGCAGTCAAAATTACGTCGTCGCTATTTATTCCTGTCTGAAATGGGCTATGAAGATCTCGAAATAGACAAATTAGGTAGTTAGCAATGACTCATTTTTTAGTATTACTATAGTGACTTCTTGTTATTTAGAGCCTAATGGTGTTTTGCCACTACCTTCAGATGGTCCGCTTTCCTGCAGTGTTCCAGGTTTGTTTCACTGTGAATCTAGTCTAATTGTGGATGTAAAATTTAAGAAGGAGAAATGGGTGTGAAAAAAGAAAGTATGGTGATAACACGATGTGGAGGATGGACGTTACCTTTGCGAAACCCTTCGCCCCCGATATGCTTTAAAAGACTTCAAGAGTTGATTCGACGAGGAAACCCTATATTCTGTTTTGCTTCGGCCAAATAATAGCTTAAGCCAATAAGTAAGAACTACAGAAGTAAAAGAAATTACGATTATTTGGGTAGAGCGGAAAAGTAATAAAACAAGCCAAAGAAAAGAAAATCAAACAAAATGGTGAGAACTTGCAAGTTCCAGGCTGTCGTTATAAATCCACCGACATTTCTATTTTCACTGGCAGATGCATGAAGATGTTCACAGTTCCAGTAAATAGGTAAACATATTTGAATAAATTAAACGAGTTTCTTTATTTTGTTGAGGAATCTCACTGATAATCTACAGATCTTTTCTCACCTCAGTGTTGACCATGGAAAGTGGCGCATAGCCATACAAATGGGCCTTGGTTTGCCTATTCCGTTTAATTTCACTTTGCCGGAGGGTGCACACATCTGCGAAATGCATTTCACGGATGGAAAACGCTATTCGAGAGGTGTTATGAAGGTGGTCCATGAGATTCTTTTTTCAAATGCTCGTTCTGTAGTTATATGGTCTTCGCCATTTTAGGATCCCTCCGTATTTCGCCGGCTGATTACAGACGGTATCAACAGTTCACTAAATCGGTTGGGGCCCCTTCGTTTGGGACGATGTGCTGTTAATAATTGCATCTATAACGAAGAGGACACTGTTTGTGTTCCTTTCCCTAAATCGAGTGAGCCATTTCACGTTCCTTCTGTGGATGTCCGCGTATTTTTTTGGTTCTTTCAGAAGATCCTCTTTACGCTCGATGGGTCATCGCTCTTTCTGAAGCTGACGAATCCTTCCGGTACAAAGAAGGCATAGCTGTTTGTACGCGGCATTTTTCGGTGAGCTCTTTCGGTACATTTCGTCTCTGACATTCTTAAATAATGATGAGTTATAGCGTTGTAGAGGTCATTGTTTTCAGAATAAAGAAAGCGCTGGCCTTATTCCAGCATTGTACCTTGGAAATGAAGCTTGTAAGTTACCACAGAGCCGCATTTTTATAGTTAATCAGATAACCATTGGCTCTCCTATATTCTCCTATCTTTTTTCCTTTTTTTTCCTTCTATCCAAGAAAGGACGAAATTGAACCTATTTTGTCGGAGATTTTTTAGAGATTTCGTAGCTCGGTCAAGTTAGATAGTTTTGTTTGAATAGTATGTAATTCTTATCGCTCCACTGCTTTGCTCGTACTTTCCGCTTTTTGTCTTCGCTCATTTTTTTGCCTCTAGGGACGGATCGTCTTGGAAATCGATCGCGTCTAAAGAAAAGGTGTGTTGCTTCGATTCTATTTGTCAAATAGCTTTACCTGTGGTATAACGGTAGGGCCCACTTTCTTTTATCATATCCTTCATTAACATGTTTTGCGAAAATTTAGATTTGTGTCAGTTGTGGCAGACAATGAGAACGCAGTGAAAAAGTCCAGGCTCGTTCAGGGGGTGGATGACTCCGAAACTTCTTCTGGGTGAGATCTTCTTCGATATACCCTAACTATTTCGACTTTATTCCATTTAGCACGGCACCTCTGTATCTTGCAATTGGTTTAGTATTGGTATCTGAAATTATGTTTGTGTGCAGAAGCTGACTATTAAGGATCACTGTTTTCATCTTTCCTTACTATCAGCCATTACAGCGCAACTAATGGAGTGCTCGCTAAAGATTCTGAAGAAAGCAGCTGTTGTGAGGAAAACAGGAACATACTAGCTATTGTTGAGAAGATGGAGGTTGAATCACGTGCTGTGGAGCGTTTGGTACTGCATTTAAACTCCATGTGTAGAAGCGGTTTCGCCCCAACGGTGAGTTTTTGAGCATCACTATGCAATTTTTCTCAAGATTATCTCAAGAGCTGTGATAATGCAGAAAGATTTGTGATTATACGTCTTTGGTATAGTTAGTAATTCGTCCAAATTTACCGACAAAGGTCATTCACTAACTCCAAAGTTCCAAAGATTAGCAGCATAATAGAAACTTTCACGGTCATCAATATCGAAGTGGTAGTGATATTCTTCTATGAATTTCGTTTCGGTGTGACAGAACCGCTCAGTTTGTATTGTTACAGGATGGATCATTGGAAAAGAAGGTCAAATTCCAACTATTCGATATTCTGTCTGAGCTTCGTTCCCAAAAATTAGTGATCCATTCATTGGTGAGTTTTTCAGTCCAAAAGGGCAGACAAAGGCGCTGAGATGTCACGTGAGTGTCAAACGTACTGCTCAAGCCGACCTCCTGGATTATGCATTGGGTTTTGGTACTTATTGCAACCTTAGGATAGGCCGCTTTATTAACAATCTACCATGACTTCATACTAGGTCGCTTATGAGTGGCTAGATGCTTCTCCCCACGCTTAGTTCGTCCTGATTCTGTGTCTATTTATGTTTGCTATAGGGTACAGTATTGCAGGCAGGCAGGAATCGAGGGGAGGAGGCTGGGTGTTTGTAATGTTCGCATTCAGCTTTTTTTGCGATAGTGATGAGGAGGAATATTGAGTGCCAGCATGAATTCCAACTCATCGCCTCGACACTTTTGTCACACCTAGCAGGAGGTTAGAGCGCTTTCGAAAATGTTTTGAATTTAATGATTCGATGTAAATTTTCTTGCCTTCTGGTAAGACATCAGAGTACTTCTGATTGTCTACCGGAAAAGCAAATCTGAACAAGCAAACAAAGGATAAGGCGGTTAAGGGTCAGTGGTTAAACAGATGTGAAGGCGGCAATTGATCACAATGGGTTCAAATTTAGGCACCTTATTGCGTTGAAACTTTTTTCGACTGCTATTCGTGTAAAAGTATATTCAACTCTGTTATTGGCCAACAACATGTTTTTTTCCTTTTACAGAGACTTAGGCTCGAGGAAGCGTTGCGTTACGAAGGGGATAAATGTTCATAACAGAAAAATCGAATGAGAGTAGATACTGCTCAACAAAGTCAGTAATCATGATCCACGATTGACCACACCTACTTCTAGCATTTTTTTCCTACTTAACCTTGTTGCTTTGTCCCATCAAGTGATAATGTGAACTTTCGACCTTTCTTTTATTATCGCCCTGACATAGTCAGAATCTTAAACCTGCAACTGTTAGTACGGCTCTCCCGACTTTGAAGTGCCTTTTCTTGGTTTATTTGTTTGGAATCTCGTTCCACGTTGTTGAGTTTTCACCATTTTCTATTTAAACCAACTTTTTGTTTAGAATAGTTTCGCTTTCATAGAGTCTAGAATCCGATTGTCATGTTGATGTCTTAAAAAATAGGTGATCTTGAATATATAATAATTAGATGTTCACTGAATTTATAGTGTACCTCCACGGGCTAAATCGGGAGAGGAGCCGAGAAGGAGCCTCAATGCGGAATATATAAGTCAATGCAAAGTATTTTGCTTTTTATACCTAAAATCGAGTTTTTGGAGTCATCTTGAGTCAGCATGGGGAGTCTCGAATCAGAGTAAACCAGCGCGGGGCGGATACTAGGAATGTTTGGTGTCCACACGCGCAGAACTGCAGACATGGTATCAGGGCCGAGTTGTCCCTTCAGGCAACAACTCTACCTTTGCCCTCTCCGAATTTAGCTTATAATAAGTAATAATTCCAATCTGTTTGTCTATTGTTCAATGGTCATGTCTTTGTTTCCTTAAAACTGTTCATTCGTAAGAGGCTATTCTCTTTGTTTGGTATGAATAAATTCTCGGAGCGGCATTTGTGGTCGCACAATGGTGATCGTTTCACTACTTATTGGAATTATTGAAGAACTGCTCCCTATTATGATTACCATGCTTTCGAGTAGATGACCTGCTTCGTCACAGTTGGCACTACAAGGTTTGATCACCTGGTCAATGAGGTATGAAGCTCTATTTACATTGTTTCTTTTTGTTGTAAAAACTGTGGAAATGTTTGCATTATAGGTGTTGACTGAGACATGTACCTCGACCCTCAAGACTTTGGGAGTAAAAAGAATAACTATTCAACTTGGTGCTGGTGAATGGAGTGACGAGGTGAGGCAACGTGTTTTCGGAGGCATGGTAGCGGACCAAGGAGAAGGGGAGGTAATGCAGTACCGGTAACTTTTTCTTGATCAGGCATTTCTTATCTCAACCCATTTCCTTATTTATTGAATAGTTGTGATTGATTCAGTACTGTTTTTTTCCATGTACTATGTTATTATTTCGCAGCTTAAGTTTTTTTTCAATGTCCTAGCTCGGGTATTTGAAAGCGTGACAAATAATTCAACTCAATTATAATTAAGAAGAATTTTCGGGATCTAAAAGAATGATCAAAATCAAGATCGAAGAATTGGTGGGAGTGAAAGTTGTGTGGCTTTTTCGTTACATCTATATTACACTGGAATAAGAGCAATAGTAGGATAAATAAAACATGATCAAATGATTGACCGAAGTTTATACAGTGTTTGGTATTAAATTTCTGCTTTCAGTGCTGCGGCTTGCCAGTAGAGTTCTACCGTTTCAAACCGAACATTCATGACGACATGAAGGAAGCTATGGTAATGCAAATATTGACTTTTCATGTGTTACAATAATCGCAAGAGTTTTAGGTTGTCATCGGGCACGCAGGAGCTGGTACATGTCTGGAATGTCTGCGATTACGCCGCCCTTTCGTAGTTGTGGTGAATGAAGACTTAATGGACAATCATCAACAGGAATTGGCAAAAGAACTTGCTCGTGGCGAGCATTTGCTCTACTGTACAGTATCTTCATTGTGTAGCACGCTTTTATCTCCTTCATTATTTAATTTGGTTCCCTTTACTCCACCTGAACAGAAGTTAGTGGCGAAATTCATCGATTCAAGAATGGGACTTGCTACTTCGTAAAGAGGGGACTGCACTAGAAGCATGCTTGCATGGGTTATTATTTATTATTTATTCACAGCGCTATTGTTTTGCAACTTTGTAATTGCATTTATATCTTACTCTTGTATTCTGCTTCCAATAAATGCTTTCTAGTCAGCTATTCCTTTTGCGACTCAGGTTCATGCCTGATTCTATCTATTGTATTGTTTTTATTTCGCGACAAATATTGCTCGCTGCCAAGAGGCGCGGACTAATATTTTAGGTATGAGTTCGGTTGAATGTCCTATTCATCCGAATGTCCACTTGGTTGAGGATCATCGAGCCGGTGATGTTGTTTGTCCAGAGTGTGGTCTAGTGGTTGGTGACAGGTATGTTCTGTGTTGTCATTATATTTCTAGGTTTTATGAATTGAGTTATGCCAATGATGTCTGTTATTTCGAGACTTGTTGACGTTGGTACCGAATGGCGTTCGTTCTCAAACGAAAGGAGTGGCGCTGATCCATCTCGTGTAGGCGCTCCTGAAAATCCTCTTCTTAGTGGAGGAGATTTGTCAACAAGTATTGCTGTTGGATTTGGCGCCAGTGATGGCGACACGAGGTATTTCTAGAACTATTTTCAAGCGTCTTTGAGCTCTGCTCATGTACCTTGAATAGGGAGTGAGTATTGCACCCGGTCACGGAGCAGCCGCCTCTGCGAATAGCTTCGTCGACTTCTCTGTGGTCGCGCGCTTCCCTTCCATGTACTGCATCTTGCTCCTGGCTTCTAGACGAGGCCACAATATCGTTTTTTTTTTCGTAATTTGACTAATAGCGATGTGTACTCATTAAGCCTTGCTAACGCCCAGCGAAAGAGCATGAACAACACCGATCGTCAAATGACGCAAGCAATGAGTGTTATTAGAGAAATGAGTGAAAGAATTCATCTTGCAAAGAGTATTCAGGTAACCTTGCTTTTCATTATCACTGTTTTTCTTTTGGTAGTGTAATGCTTAGTGCTAGGGTGGTTCTAATAACTCCTAATTTCTAATTTTATGATAACTAGTTCACGAACAAGGTGTTAATATCGTCGAGAAGGTTGTATTTGTGTTTCCACCAATCTTATTCAATTTTAGGATTTGGCTTCGAAGACTTTCAAAGATGTTCTGGATAGCAAGGCTCTCAAAGGAAAGAATAATGAGGCACAGGCTGCTGCTTGTCTCTATATAGCTTGTCGAAAAGAAGGAGTTCCGAGAACATTCAAAGGTGCTAATTCCTTTCTATCAAGCCCTATGTTTTGAATTTTTTTGAAATGTCATCTTGATGTGCATAGCTTCAAACTACATATCATTTTATCATGCTTGACTCCTTTGCGCTTCAGAAATCTGTGCTGTTTCACGTGTTTCGAAGAAGGAGATTGGGCGATGTTTCAAACTGATCATAAAGAGTCTTGAGACTAATCTCGAACAAATTACTTCTGCAGATTTCATGTCGAGATTTTGTGGAAATCTATCTTTGCCCAACTCGATTCAGGTAAGTGATCTTACTAGTTCTTTGATATTTGCTTCGGTATCTTGTAACAGTAGTAGCACATGTTATGCTTGCAAATTCAGCAAAATATTTCCACTTTGAATCGCCTTATTGATTGCATGACCTTTATTCCATTAGGTTACAGTTTGAGAAATCATCAAAGTATGTCTTTGTAACGGTTTCTTCTTAGGCGCCAAGCTGATCAGGCTAAGGAGCCTTCTGTTAGAACGAAAATAAGCAGCAGTAAATTAGACCCCTCAATATGGAGCGCTAAATCTGTGGCTACTTTATATCAGTACTACATCTCTTCAATAATACACCTTCCATCAATCACTGAAGTTTTTTTTGCAGGCGGCAGCTACTCGTATAGCAAAACGCGCTGTAGAAATGGACCTTGTTGCTGGGTATGTTCAACTTTGATTACTCCTACAGATGATATGCTATCAGTTTTTATTTCAGCCGTTCGCCGATTTCCATCGCTGCAGCCGCTATTTATATGGCTTCACAGGCGTCCAGTGAGAAACGTTCAGCAAAAGGTGTGTTTTGTAAACTTGGGATCAATTTATGTATTTATTTCGTTGAAGCTTGTTCTGAAAAGATTTGGAATTGTGGAAATATTCAGACATTGGTGAGATCGCGGGTGCTGCAGAAGTGACGGTAAAACAGACATACAAACTTCTGTATCCTCGAGCTGCAGAACTATTCCCAGACGACTTCAAATTTGTTACACCAATTGATCAGCTACCGACGTCGTAGTTTCTTATGCGTCAACCATCTCGATCCCTTTTAAACACATTTTTCAAGATTCTCGGTGTGCTAGTGTTTCCGTAGATGCGCTTTTCTTAAAAATGTTTAGTAGTATACTTACATGCCACTATTGATCCTTGTTGTATTGTCACCATGTCCATATTTTAGCGGTAGGAAATATAGTCACGAAGTGTAAATATGTCACCCAAGTTGCAAGTTTGTATATTCGTTCTTGTCTCTGTTCTCCGATTGCACTGAAGCACTGAATATTAAAATTCCATTTAGATCATCCCATAGCTTTCTAGATTTAAAGGTTCCCACGGGTTCGCTCTTATTTGCAGTGAAAATTTAGTTTTGCATGCTGAATTGTTGAATAAAGAATGCGTTGTACTTGTTTGTGATTAGCTTCTGTATCTGTGGTAAATACGATTTTCCATAAATACGTGTGGCTATACTTCGTCTACTTTTATTCGAATCGAATGCGTCCGTCCACAAGAGACCCATCGTTCGCTCTATGATAGGCCCTCCGTGGCTGGCCGGTGCTCTAGTACATTGAAAGAAATCCATAAAACAGCTGGTCATTCACTATAAGCCTGAATAGTAATTTTGTTAAAATAAATATAGGACATTAGAAAATTGTGAACAAGTGAGTGAATCCAACTTTAAGTAGTGCGAGCTACAATACATTCTACAGAGTTTCACATAGTAATGCATGGGGCTCGGTTGAGGACACTGACTTTACAATTTCACCGACCATTTGACCGATATATAGCCCAAGACTCGTTGCTTTCCCAACCGGAAGGTCTCAAAACGAAGTCCCTTGGAAAAAATTCTCTCGGTGGACCATTTTACACGCACTCTCATCCGCACAGGCAAATAGGCTAGCATCAACAGTGGGTTTTTCATGGATCTTTTCACGGACGTTTCGCCAATCGGTGGTAACAAA